GCGCCGCTCCGCCGACAAGGCGGCGATCGCGCGGTCGCCGCCACTCGCGGCGCGGGCGCCGTGATTGGCGGCGCAGGGGCGAGGAACATGACGGAAAAAGCGAGTTGCAGTTTGGCAACTCAAATATTTCTTCGACATGCTTTTTGTGTGCTTTAAGGAAAGAAAAGTAAATTCCACGACGATGTCTTCTTAGAAACGGACAGGTCTTCAGCTCCGCCGTGCTTGGACGAGTTCCCTCTAGGCGGTTTCCCTCTAGGCGGTCGGAAGGCAATTTGGGTATTTAGTGTCATGATCTGGAACAATGTTCCTGATATGTATATGCATGTCTGTATGTGTGTATGTATGTCTAAAAATGTGTTGTGTTCCGTTTAAACCTCACCACGCAAAGGGAAACTGAACAGGTATGGCCCAAAAGGCAATGCTATAACCTATCCACATTTTGCAATAGTTCCACAACCTGAAATGAGCAAACAACACCTTCATCATGGTCATTTCACCTGGCGACCTCGCCACAAAATTTGCGCTCAGAATTGTGAGCTCTTGAATTAGGAGACCTCTGCTACTTTGTTTCAAAAGGTAAACCAAAGGGAGGCCCCAAACAACTTTTGTTCACAGCCCCTATGTTTGGAGGCATAGCGCAAACCAAGAGCGGGGATTTCCTGCTTTGGTGTGTTCTTTGTTTTCTGCCTGGTTTCCAGGGAGCATGGATTTGCAACTGACACGGGCAAATGTGCGTTTGGCCCTGGGTTTTGTGGAACTTCTTGTCTCCCCGAAACAAAAACAAAACAATGCCCACAATCTTGTCAGTTGCCCAATGATCTACCAGTCCTCTCCTGAGCAAAACGAGTGAGGCGTCGCGAGCTGGGTTTCTGAAGCACCTCTCACACCCGATCTCTCACTTACTGTTGTTTTCCCTGAAAAACACATGTTGGGAGCAAGCTCTTCAAATTTTGAAATCCATATGGGTGGTTCACGTGCAGTATTCAGCAGGCAGCTGGGTAAACCTCCGACTCGATCATTTGCGATCTGTTTGTGGTAAGGGGCCATCCATCCTCAGTTGCTCACCTGTGCAAGCCAGCCAGTTGGGAAACTGGGTGCTGAATACTGAATACTGGGTCTCGAGGTCTGAAAAGATGAACAAATCCCATCCCCAATGTGGTTTCCTAGAAAGTTATTGTGCTGTTTACCGCTGCGAGAATCAACCTAAGTTCTGCAAATTCTGCAAGAATGTCAAAACCGCAAGCAAGAACTGATTGTATCCCCTAATACAGCATGATATTGGTGAGCTCGTTTTACCCCCAATTCGGTGAATGCACGAATTGCTCGAGCATGGGGCGGCTGACGATTGTCCTGCACCGCGGTCGCGGGAAGGTAGACCTGGCCGGTGGGTCTTTCGCATCTCTCTTCAGCTTGGAGGTTGTGGTCTGGGTTGAAAAGGGCAGTTGTTCTTGGCCCCGCTCTGGTGTGCACAGCTTTCTCAGCTTGTCCTTTTTTGGGTACGTGTCAAAATAGGGCCCACAAAATGGGCAGTTTCCTTTTGGTTTCCCTGTCAAGCAACCCACAAGAAGCACCCTCAAAAACATCACACTCATTTAGTCCACCCTGTGCTTTGTCTTTGCAACAAATGTTGGAGACCTCAGGTGTTGGAGCAGGTTGGATTTGTCTTCCAAGGCTTGAAACCCAATCAAAGTGCACCTGGCCCTTTGAAAGTGCCCTTGCTTGTTCGGGTTGCAACAAGGCAAACCACAATTTCTTCGGCTGGGGGCTCTGCCACTTTGAGAGCAACCCATTGGTCCCTGCGGGTCGGGAGTGTTTTGACACCAAATTACGTCATGACCACAGTAGCTAGAGGTTAGTACCTATTTAACCCCCCCCAAGCCCAAAGAATCCGCTGTCCCGGACAAACCGTAGCGGATCTTTAAGAAAGTGGTCAGGCGACCTTGCAGGTTCCATGTATTAAACAGCACCCGTCTTGCCCAGTGACTTTGGTTATACATGCATCTAAAGGTTTGCATAGGCCTTCTTATAATCACCAATTAAACAAGGTAGGAACCGATGCAACTATATATGAAAATAGTAGCTATTTACAGCGTGGATTCTGGTCATTGTTGCTTCTGGGAGAACGGCAAATGGAGGAGAATAATCATTTGAGACAGCCCGAAATTAGCAAACAACCACCAAGTGTTTGACATGCAGTGGTAGATGAACCCTTTCCTCAAATGACAAAGTGCCCTCTAATCAAAACATTTACTCTCAAACCCAAAACAACAGACCCCGCCGAAACCAGGGGCGCGTACTTGAACAAAGACGATGGTATTACTCCAGGTTGTTAGCGGGGGCGCCACTTAGGGGTGAGAGGATATATCAAATCCGTTTCCCCTAGATAATCCCGCACCCTCTTTTAGTACTCGTTGCACGGGGATCCACAGGTCGAATTGAGATTTTCTTACCCCAAAATGGAAGGGTCCAAACCCAACTAGTCAGGCCCCTTCGTAGTGTTCCAACGGATTATTTCTGGATGCGGAATCAACAAGTTGCAGCCTGCAGGCGGACGAGCAGCATCTTGGGAGCATGTTCTCCAATGCTTTTGCTATTTACGCACCAAATGCATCCTGAGCATGGATTCACATCGATGCTAGACCTGAGCAGATCGATTCCCCCCGATCTCCATGTCATCTTTGGTGTTTCTCGGCCAATCTGTTCATCTCATCCTGGGCCATAGTTTGATGCCTGAGCCTGGGGTTCATATGGGTGCCCCCCTGAGCCTGGGGACCCCGCCAAAAAAACAAAGTGTCATCTTCAGCTTGGCGTCTCTCAACATGTCTATTGGCTTGACCTGTACCGCAATTGACGTAACAAAATTCCTTGACCCTAAGGACCTTCATCATAGGGTGGACCCCAAAAAAACACGGGCTGTTTCCCTGATTTTAGACAACCCGGGGTTCCCCTTTAACATCGGAAGTTACAATATGAACATATACGACGTAACAAAGTAACCAAATCTAACTCGACTATATGAACAAACCAACTTGGTATGTGTGCGTATGTTGTTTCACACCTCCTTTCCCTTTTATGGGTAGTTCCATTGGTTTTCTTTTGGTTCCCAGCCCCCGGCCTCGAAGACCTGTGGCCGAAGCCGGCCCGAGAGCTCGGTACCCACCTGAAAGGCGAATCCAATGCGACACGGCCGAAGGCCGCAGAGATTCACCGGATCCCTCGTCCTTTTTTTCGGGGTTTCCCGGTTTTTGGTGGGTTTAAAGGGAAACCAAAGGGAAACCGTTGCCATGTTTGTAAGATGGATCAAATTCCATGAATGGGACAATCCACCTAGTTGGTGCGAAATGGATTTGACCATCCACGCCACTTCTGCTACATAACCAGGGTTCCAGCTTTTGACCGCAGACTTGAAATCCAGGAGTTGCCTGGAAAGTCTAGTCATGTCTAGTCCAAAAATAAAACTCTTGCTACGATTCTTAAATGTCGCTCATGGTTGGCGGCCAAAAACCAATGCACTTTGCACAAACCTGCACCGTGCGATTGACGGACGAGAAAGTCCCCCCCCCCCCCCCAAATTCAGCATCCTCGGAAAACTGGCGCGGAGGGTCTCTTCCTACCTTGTGTCAAGTCGCAAAGGGCCCAGAGTACATCTGCAAAAGAAACTGGGAGCTAAATCCCCAAAGCACTGATCTAAACATATCCAATCCGAACATAATATGTAAACCACGAACCGGCTGTTGCCTGAGGAATAACAGAAGGACCCCAAAGAAACACTTCTTCTACTTCGAGGATCGGAATATCCTTTTTCACCTTCCAGTGTGAAACAATGGCCACCCATTTCACACGCAGGGTGAAGCCTTGTAAACTTTGATGCTTTGCAGGATTGTGTTTTAAACAACATGCTTTGGTGCCAAATGCTTGACCTAATAAAAATGTTCTAGCAAAGGCTACTCATGTCCGGAGTCCTCCAACAGCTACGCCTGTTTGTCATGCTCTCACAATGGCTGTCTTATTCTCCCTAGTAAGGGGTTGATAACCATACTTACGTCCAGATAAAAGGATCAAGAGTAACCACCCACATAGTTCACGCACCGCATCTGCAAATTCAAACGCCTGGAATAAGAATTGGATCCCGAAGTGGAATACCGTTTTATGGTGAGCTCGTTTTACCCCAAATCGGTGAGCTCCAAACCCAAAAAAAGCAGCAGACGCGTACCGTTGATGGACCAAATCCAGGGCCAGCTGGTGCGTGGCTAATCCCAGTTATAGGCATCCATCCCAAGAGGGGAAACACCCCCCAATCCGCCAGGTTGATTTATCCAGGGATGACACTTCTACGTGCTTCGACTTCGTCGCAATGAAACTGGTAAGTGCAAATTGTTCATCCACAGTGCATCGCATCTGTCCTTGCCTGGAGGGGGACGTAGATCCTCGCGCTGCGATTGTGGAGGTCTTGATACCTGGCGCTGGTTTCGTCAACGGCCAGTGGAATTCCCTTGATCTCTTTGGGTGATGAAAGGACAAATCAATCTTCGTATCACAAAGGCACAAGGGCCTTCTTGTTGCATACATATACATATATATATATATATGTATATAGTTGGTTATGAAGGGGAATCCCCCCTCGGCAAACCCATAGCTCGTGGATGCCAGCCAGCGGCTGTGCACCACAGTAAATACGGGGGTTGATCAATATTCCCTTCGGCCCCCCAATGACCATGGGTGTTTCTTCATATAGCGGGAAAGTCAGATTTGTTGCTTTCCTTATCTTGGGCTCCACGCGAATTTGCAGGGGAGTCAGACACGTCAAGTCAACCCACAAGTGATCATCCTTTCTTTCCAGGTCCTTTGGCAAGTGAAAACAATGACACCACGTAGACATCTTCGGCCCTTTCCAAAGGGCGCCGAAGCTTGAGCCTTCGGTAGTCCGCGGCTTTGCGTTTACCTATTCTATGGCGAGCTCACCGATTCGGGAATCAAGCAAGCTCGTGATGAAGGCCCTT